ATCCTGAGTCGGATCCTCCCCTGGTGGGACAGCCCGTGAAACCTGCGTAGGGTTTGTAGATGAGTTGATAGCATTGTATCAACATCAGAGGCCTGGTTTTGATCAAGCACCGTGTCTGCGCAGGAATATGAACTTTTAGGGAACTAGACGAAGGGTATGCTAGAAATTTCTGGCGCTTTTGCAACATTTTTGTAAGTCTGAAATTATTTCAAATGGAAAAGTCCAAAAATAAAAGAGAAAAGAGACAGAAAGCAGGTTACTAATTGCCAGCTGCAACGAGTGCCGCACCGAACAGAAGCAGGCAGGAAACAGCAGAAGGGGGTGTTCGGCATCACCCCGCCAGGAGCTGCCATCCATGCTCAGACCTCAGCGCAGAGGGAGACGCCAGCACGACGCGGAGGAACAGTGCTCTGGATACGGAACAGCATGCACAAAGGCCCCGAGGCAGGAAAAGATTCATCCCTGTTCTTCCCTAGGAACACCCGCTAGAGAAACACGGTGGCATCTGTCGGACGATGCTGGAAGGACAGGAAAGAGGTCCACGAGTGGATGGAAGCGGAAGCCCGAGCGATGCCTCTACAAGCCCAGGAATGGCTGGAGCTGCCAGAAGCCAGAAGATGCCCGAAGGATCCTCCCCTACAGCCTCAGGAGACGCGCGGCCCTGCGCACACCTTGATGTCGGACTCCGGGTCTGACGGAATGGAGGGGTGCTGTGTAGGTCACCCCGTGTGTGGTCCGTTGTTAGGGCCACTCTAGGACACCCAGCCACCGTCCTTCATGTGTTCCGTGAGTCACTTGTGCATTTGCTTATTAAATATTATTTGCTCAGAGCATTACTTAATATCTTAAAATCCAGCACAGGCCAAGCCCCCCTTGAAAATCCAGTCTTGTCCTTGGCAAGCGTGGATCGCACAGCACAAGCGTGCTACAGTCACTGTGGCTGCTTTTTAACACCCTCTAGAATCAGCACATACCCACTGGAGGAAGCGCTCGCCCCGCGCCCAGAATCACCTCCCAGAACCTCAGCACAGGCCAATTAGGATAAGAAAAATGCCTGCTTTTCTGCTGCTTTTTTTTCCCCCAAAAGAAAGATCTCTGAAGACCTGATATTTCTCTGGCGACAAACCCCATGTCTTTTCCCCGCCTCCTCCCCCTTCCATTCAGGCTCACTCTTGTGATCTTTGTAGAAAACACGGATGGTGGAGCTGGGTGTGACCCTCCTCTAAGCCTGCATTTTCATCTCTAAAATGAGGATAACCACATCCACCTGCCAGAAGTGCTCTGAAGACTAGATAAGAGGAAGGCACATATTTTTAATGCCATTTATATGAAATATCCAGAATACGCAAACCCTTGGAGAGAGAGAGAGCAGATTAGCGGTTGCCAGGGTTTGAGAGGAGAGAGTAGAGAGTGACCACTGATGCGTACGGGGCCTCCTTTCGGGGTGATAAGAATCTTCTGGAACCAGACAGTGGGAGTGGTTGCACAGCGTGCTGAACGACCTAAATGCTGCTGAATTTTACTCATACGCTTTACAATGGTGAACATGATGAGTTTTATATTAGGTGTATTCCACCAAAATTTATTTTTTAATTGGGTAAGACGCATCTGCCTGGGGTAAGTGACACCAGCCAAGTCCCTCCACCTGTCTGAACCTGTTTCCTCATCAGCAAAATGGGGGGGGGGTCAATAGAACCTGTGCTATGGGTGGTTGTGCAGATTATACCAGTTGAGCCACAGACATGACGGGCCTGTGAATGCCCTGACAGGCTGCTCCCCGTGGGACTGCTAGAAGGACTCACCGCCATAATGCAGACAGAGCAGCGGATCCGGAGACAATCTCAGCCAAGGGCCTGGGCTCGAGTAAAGCAAGCATCGTTCCCCCTTAAGATGCCAGGCAGGCTCCATCCGGCGTTGGCCTGTGTAGGCTGTTTCTGGCATTCTGACTCACAAATATACGTAAAGGTTGGAGCAGATCATATTTTAAACCCCAGTAGCTTGGTCTGAGCAATTGGGCGCTCTGGATGTAATTCTGCAGGTAATTTGAACGATGCTATCTAATTTCAAATGTCCCTGCTCTTACGAGTGCAAAAGCAGCATAATTTTTAATTAGTGGGTAAACAGTAAATAATGGATGGCGGTAAGTGGACACCACTGTTAATTAAAAATCCATGGTTGATAAAAATCAATTTGGCCCATGCATTGAACTCAGTCTATCAGGTCCCTGTGAAAAGTTGTGCAATTGGCTCACAGCACCATCTGCTTTCAGCTGTTCCTTTAGCTAAGACTTTTCGGGGCGGCGGGGGCTTGGCGGGGGAAGGTAGGGCGGAAAGGGGGAGAGAAAGAAACCATCAAAAAACCATCAAAAACCTCAGATGCTGCAACAGAAAAATCTTGCACAGATTCATTTGTAATTGGTTAATTTAATTTTTGCAACCTTTAAATTGAAGCTCTGCAAACAGCCAAGAGGCGATGTTATGCTCTGGTATTTTCACGAAGAAGACCTCCAGTTGGGTTTTGGGTTTTGTGTGCGTCTGTTCTGAAGACGGTGAGATTTCATGTCGTCTCCCGCCTTCATGAAATCCTAATTTCTCAGGGAGAAACAAGACAAACTAAAACACAGCCAGCAGGAACATCCTGTCTGAGGACTCACAACAGAATTTCTCATCTAGAGCCATCTCCTCTCGGTAGCTTCAGAGAGCACAGGGGGAAAGGCTTGTTTTCTTTTGAACAGAAAACATTTCCTCGAGAAACAGAGCTTTGTGGAAACAATGTCAATATAATTTTCAGGGCCCGTTTGCTATTTTGCTGGGAGCCATAAGCTCGATTTTCCTGCCAGGGAAGTAACGCTGACCCCTTTGGTCCTTTTCCTCCCTCTGCTTGCACGCATTCTCCAAACCGCCACTTGGAGATGGGTTTCGTTGACACCAGCGATGCTCACACTAACCTGCAGGGCTGAGTCTGGGGGCCCCAGAGTCTCCCGATGAGGGTGCTTGCAGGGGCACGAGAGGGTCTGAGGTGCAGACTCGAATGTGAGCCCTGGCTCGGGGTCCCTGGTGGGGCCACGCTGGCCGTCGGGCCCAGTTCCGGGGCCCACCCGCACGCCACAACATTCTGCGCCTGGTCCTCGAGACCTGAGATGTGCCCAAGTCAGTGCAGAACTACCCGAAGCTTCTTTTCCAAGTCTCCCGTTGGTGTGCACTCACCCTGCGTGCGGAGTGGCCCGCAGAGCCCTCGGGCAGCCCGAGTGGCCACGTGTCCGTGTGGGGCCAGGTCAGCCCCCGCCGGGTGGGCGGTTGTTTTCATTTCTCCTATTTGGCTGGCTGAAACCAACAGATCCGCTGTAGGACACACCCGAAATATGGCAAGGACCCGGCGCTGCCCCAGCACTTTTGCCCATTTGCTCATCCGTTCGTTCATTCATTCATTCATTCATTCATTCAGCAAATTCATCCCAAGTCTTGAAAACAGCCCCGTCCCCCTTGCCTGTGATGTACGAGGCCAACCGTGGCTGCGTCGGGCACCACCTGGGCTCAGCCGCATTCGGGGTGCCCGGGCTCCATCCAGCTAAGCCCAGCTCACCTGGCCTTCGCCTCCGCCTGGGAGAGGAGCTGACGCTCACACCTGTCTCCAAGGGCAGCGAAGATCAGGAACCGATACTTGGCGTGGCTGGGCCCCACGGCATCAGCCGTGACTTCTCCGCTGGGCTCCGGGGACCCCAAGAGTCTCCAAATGAGACCCCGGGCCTCCAGGAAGTGAGGGATCTACTCTGCCTCGTTTTCCTGAGAAGCGCCTGGGGCCCAGAGAGGTTTGGGGGCCACACGCCCCATCGGACAGCTGCCAGAGGACAGCGCGGGGACCTGAGGCCTTGTCCGGCGGTGCCAGGAAGGTGTGGCGTGCAGCGGAGGAGGGGACACAGTGCGCCTGCCACTTGCTTCTCCGCTCAGCCGACAGGCCTCCCCCGGCCCCCGGCCACGCAGGGCCCGTGTCCCGGAGCTGCCCCCGACCCCTTGGACGGCGGCTCGGGCGGAGGAAGTGCCGTTGGAAATCCCTGCTGCGGGGGCCGGGGGTCGAGGCCGGCCGCCCCTGAACACGGCCTGTTGCTGTAATATCTGGACATCACTCGCCGCCAAGCTTCCCACACATCCCGCCATCTGGGTCATGTCAAGCCCAAGCCTCTGAGTGGAGATGACGGTTTCTGGGGAAATCGCTGCTCTTTAGCAGCTGAAGGCCTTGGTGCTCTCGCCTTGGGACAGCAAGTGGACGAGATTGTGAACAGTCCCGTGGCCAAGCCTGGCTGGCGTCCACGAGATGAGCACATGTGGGGGTCACTCAGGAGGGCCTGAGGCCCCTGCTGCTCACGGCCATCTCGCCGGCCCCGTCAAGCCTGTGCATCAGCCCTGATACCCGCCACACGCGTACTGGGCGCCCGCTGTGTGCCAGGCGCTGGCTTGGGGCCCCTGACGGGCAGGCGGACAACAGGCCTGGCACCGAGGAGGGACCGTTACATGAGTGGCCTCCAGTGGCAGTTCTGGCCTGCTCCATGGGGTGGAGGCCAAGGGGAACCTGGGCTCTGGTGGATGGGGGGTGCCGCCCCGCCGCCCAGCACCTCGGTCTGGGTCTAGAGTGCCCCTTGTCCAGGACTGCAGAGGCCTTCAGTGCCACGCGGTGGGGCCTGGCCACAGCAGCCGGGGCTTGGGAAGGCCTGGCCTCCCAGGAGTGTGGCACGGCACGGCCACGGTGGCAGGCCTTCCACCTCGGGACCCTGGGGTCCCCTCGCTCCACAGGGGTCGTGGCTGAGATGCAGAGGGTGAGGAGTGCAGATGCGGCCCCCTGCAGACTGACTTGCGGAGGCAGAGCTGGATGCCCCGGGAAGGGGTCCGACGGGGTCTGCCTCTCTGACTCCGCTTACGGCCCAGGATGGGCTGGGAGGGCAGGCAGGGCAGACAGAGCTTCTGGGGTGCATCGGGGTCACTAACTCACGTCTGTCTGCTTTGCAGCCCACACCGCAGAGGCGACTGGGACGGCAGGGGGTGGCCGCCTACGCTGGGAACCCCGCTGCCAGCAGCCCCTGCCTCACAGAGTACCCGTCACTGCGCCACTGCCCCCACGCCTCGACGGGCCCTGGGTCTCCACTGGGTAAGACCCTGAGGTCACCCTGGTTACAGGCCCCTGGGCAGGGAGACTTCACCCTCTCTGAGCCTCGGCGTCCATGGGGCACGATTCATCCCGTTGGCCAAGAGGCCTGCTACCTGCCAAACATAGGGCTTTGCAGCCATGGTGGGGACAAGCATCAAACCTGTTGACACAGGAATAAGTGACCTAAACCTGAGATGGTGCTAAGCTCTGCAACGAAGGGAACAGAACCAAGAATGTGACAGCCAGTGACCTGGGTGGGGCAGGGGGCTTCTGAGAAGTGGTGACACTCAGCTGAGAGCTAAGAGAAGAAGGAGCCACCCAGAGACCCAGGGGAAGAGCCAGGCAGAGGGGGGAGAGGTGCAAAGGTCCTGAGGCAGGACGCGATGGGCCAGAGAGGGCTTGGGGGTCCTGTTTATCCGTCGAATTCTCTTTCTAACCCGACAGGCTTGCCTGACATTTCAGAGGCCCTGTTTGCAGCTCTGGGGCAATGGGCTTTGTGCTCCAACCCTCATCCGTGGAGCACAGACGCTACACAACAGCTGAGCCCTCCCTCCGGGGTGAGGGAGAGGGAAGCCGTGGCCTCCTGCACAGCTAGTACATCCTTCCCTCCCCCGCCATCCCTTTGGGGCCGGTCCTGTTCTGGTGTCAGGGACTGGACTCTCCGTGTCCTCCATGCACCTCCTGGGGTCAAGGAGAAATCCCACTGCCAAACATCTGTTAGCACTCGGGGTGGAGGGAGGGGACGTGAGCTCTGCAAAGCCACTTTGGATGCTTTCCCAGGCTCTGCCCACCCCGACTCCACAGGGTCCAGGTAAGATCCAGGCGCTGCTGGTCAAGTCACCCTGAGACAGAGCTGGGCCGCGGGAAAGCTCAGAGCTGGTTGCAGGCTGCTTCTGCCCTGAGACCACAGCATTCCAGGACAGTTCTTCTAGAAACCCCTTCACGCTGCTTTGCTGCTTCCAGACAGGCTTTGCTGCTTCCTGGAGGCAACTGCAGGGAATGATCCAGAGTCTGGGAACCACTGAGACGGCCACTGTGGTCCCATTAGGCAAATCCCTCGCCCCCCAGCCCTGTCCGAGATACAGGTGAGGACAGGATGGCCTCCCACCCTCAGGTGTGTGAGTCACCCCTCTCCTCTTTCGCGACCTCCCATACTGGCATTTCCTTTCCGATTTTCTTTAAGCCAGCTTGCTTTTGTTTACCTAAATATATTCATTTATTTTTACAGCTTTATTGAGGTATAATTGGTATACAGTAAACTGCACACATTTGCAGCGTACTATAATTATTTTTAAAGGAAGTGTAATATCACCCCGGATAGGGAGAGCGGAGCCACCTGCCATAAATAGGAGGTAACTGTAAAAAGAAAGTCAATGAAAACAAAACAACATAATTAAATTCTCACTAGATTCGTTGTCTGCCTCGGGTCCTGGGTCTGTTTTCTCTGGGAGAAAAGGGAGGTTGGCGTTAAAGACATATTAGTTCCAACAGAGACTTTCTCCTTAACATAATCAGAAAGACTGAAAGGAAAAGAAAAGGGAAACTGTTTTCGTGCTGGGTAAGAACATGTTTCCTTTGCTCCATCAGCCTCGCCAGGAAAACTACCGAGAAAGTAATAGTACCGGTGGTGCGCGCTCACAGTGGCGATGCCAAGGGGGCCCCGCCCGGCCTGCTTTCCCCTGGAACCCGTCCAGCATCCACCCGGCCTGCGCCCTCAATGCAAAGTCTCAGGGGCTCCCCTGCCCCCTATCCAGGTGCGGCCGCGGGTCTAGGAGTCACTTAGCCTCTGTTTCTCCCAACCCCACCCTGTGCTTTGTCATCACCAGCAGAAGAGATCCTGGGGGCCAGGTCCAGCCCACTGCCTGTTTTTGTAAATAAAGTTTTATTGGCACACCACCAGGCCCCACCCCACCCCATTTACTTAGCGTCTCTGGCTGCCTTAGCTCTGGAGACCACCTGGCCCACCAAAACAAAAATATTTATTATTATCTGACCCTTTACAGAAAAAGCTTGGTGAGCCCTGGTTTCGATCAACAAACCTGTCACGGGCACAAATGAAATTTGGTCAGGGAAGTCAACCTAGCCATGGGGAGACCGGACGTAAGTGCCCATCAACCACGATTCACTAGTGAGGCCCCAGGGAGGGTCCCCTGGGTGCCAGGCTCTGGGCCAGGAGCCAAGGATCCACTGGGGAAAGAACGGGCAGGCCACTGCCTCCTGGAGCTCATGGCACAGGGCTCCCCAAATGGTGCAAAGGAGCCTCTGGTTTCCTGAGCACCTCCTGGACGCCCCCCTGAGCCCCGTGCTTCCTGGAAACCCTGACCGTGGGCCCGATGCCTCTGCGTCACACGGGAAGGAGCTGGGCATTATCCACAGCTGCTGAGTGTCAGAAACGGAATTTGAACCCAGGTCCTCTGGCTGCAAAGTCTGCGCACTTCTTGGGCCAGTAGGTATGCACAGGTAGGAGGCCCGCGCCACAGGGCGGGACGTCAGCTGGAGAAGGCAGTTAGGATTGCAGGAGGAAGGAGAAGGCTTTCGTGGAGGCCACAAGGCAAGTGGAAGGCCCGTGGCCTCAAAGGTGGAGCTGAGACCACTCAGGGAATCGAGGCGGCGGGGCCCAGCTGGGGGACAGGAGCCCAGGCAGAGGGAGCGGGCTCGCCGTGCAGGTGCTCCCGGCTCGGCCCAACCCCCGTCTCTCTCCCTCCGACAGCTGTGAGGTGCGCCCCGGACCCGAGTTCCTCACCCGCTCCTACACCTTCTACCCCAGCCGCCTCTTCCGAGCCTACCAGTTCTACTACAGGGACCCCTCCTGCCGGGAGCCCACACACTCCCTGCTCATCAAGGGCAAGGTCCGCCTGCGCCGGGCCTCCTGGGTTACCCGCGGTGCCACCGAGGCCGACTACCACCTGCACAAGGTGGGCATCGTCTTCCACAGCCGCCGCGCCCTGCTCGATGTCACCAGGAGCCTCAACCAGACCTGGGCGGGCAGGGACTGTGCCCAGCGGCTGCCCCCGGCCCGGGCCTGGCTGCCCGGCGCCCTCTACGAGCTGCTGAGCGCCCGGGCCAAGCAGGACTGCACGGAAGCCCTGGGCTTCACCATGCACGAGCTCAGCCTGGTCCGCATGCAGCGCCACCTGCAGCTGCAGCCCCGGGCCGGGCCCCGGCTAGTGGAGGAGCTGTACCTGGGGGACATCCACACCAACCACGCAGAGAGGCGGCACTACCGGCCCACGGGCTACCAGCGCCCGCTGCAGAGCGCCCTGGTGAGTCTAAAGCCCTGGGAGCGTGAGCTCTGAGCCCCAACCCAATAGGCCCCCTATGGGCTGATCCCTGCCTAGGACCCTTCCCTGCACCCCCAGGCTGGCCTACCTGCCTCAGGACATTTGCACATGCTGTTTCTGCTGCTTGAGACAGCTTTTCTCAGATCTTTACAGGGCTGGCTTTTCCCAAAGGAACCACAGTTCAGCTTGTCTGAGGTCCTTCCTGTGGGACCCACGGGGTCCCCTTCTGCCCCTGCTGGGCGTGTGGGCTTGGGCAGGCCTCTCTCAGCTCCCAGATCAGACGTTCCCTCCAATCCCCACTCTGCACATTTCCCAGCACTCAGTTTGCCCTGGGCTGCATGGTCTGTTTCCTTGCCACCTTCTCTAGAAGTAGACCCTCTGCAAGGGCAGGGCCCTGCTCTCTCCTGTGTCCCCACACGTGGCCCGGGTCTGGCAGACAGTCGGGGCCAATAAATGTTAGTGAATGAACTGGGGAGAGGTCAGCGCTCCTCCGGGGCTCCGCTGGACGGCCACGCCGCCCGTGGAAGGTGCCCCCCCAAAGCTCCACATGGACCTCGCTGCTGTCTGGAGCCGGAGACGCTGAGCGTGCCCCTTCACACTAAGGCCGGGGAAAGCCGCGCTGCTCAGGCCCTGCTCTCAAGACACCATCACCCGGGCATCTTCTGAGAAGGCAGGGTCAGGCCCCGTGGTCCGGGTGGTGTCTGGGACCCTGCATGTCTAAGGGGCTCCCCGGTGCCCCAGGGACTGCCCTCTGGGCAGGGGCTGCAGTACAAAGGGACATGTACTTCCCCCCCTCTACTCCCACATGGATTTCACCTGGGGTGCTTAACCTAGATTCTTAAATTAAGGGGTCACTAACATACCGCCCCCATTTGGGGGAGATCTGGTGGCCCTTTCCTGCCTGATGGGCACACAGGCCCAAAGAATCCGAGCTCCACTCATATGATGTATTCTTGGCACATAGTACAGAGCCTGGTCCACATGGGGCGGGGGCTCGTGACTTCTCCGGCGCAGCCTGGGAAGCCTCAGGACCCACCCCTACCCCCACCCCAACTCAGAAAAATGTTTGTAGGAGCGTCAGATAAAATACATAGAATTTAAACAGAAACCAATTCTATTAAAATAGTCACCCAGGGGACATCCAGGGATATCCTTTATTCTCCGTAATTGAGGGTAAACAAGGTCCCAGTATCTTATTAAGAGGAGACAGGCAACAAAGTCGGAGGTTCCAGAAGTTACAGGGCTTCCTTGCCTACCCTGGCAATTACAAGAAAAGTTAACTTTTATTAGTGTGGGTGTGTGGAAAGTGAAGTCAAGGTAGGGCGCAGCCAAGGAATATTTTTCAAAAGCGAGAATGAGTGGATTGGATATGTGAGTTTGGGAGCCCCTGTCGAGTGAGCCCTTAGGCAACCCTCCTGTGTCATTCAGCATGTATTGAGTGCCTACTGTGTACCCAGCACTCAAGGAACTAACCTCCCCCTCCAGAGGTGAGCAGCTGCGTGTCAAAGTACCCCAAAGAGAGGCACGAGGGATGAGCCCCATGGTACCTCCTCTCCTCTCCCGCCCCCTCCTCCCAACCCAGGATCTGGAGAGCAGAGAAGCAGCACAGGAAGTTCTCATCATCAGAAAATCAGCCTGAGTTCTTTTCGTGACCTCAAAATTATTCCCTTTTTGGCAGCCAATGTTCTAGGCTGGTCTGACGTTAATCCTACTTAAAGAGAAGAAGGCCCTGGCAGCGGGGTGATTACCGGCGCCCACCACCTCATTAGGAGGGCAAACTGCTCTGAACACGGAGAGGATGGACCCCCGGGGGCACAGAGGATGACAATTTTCATGTCTCCCCAGGCAGGGCTGTGGGGCCGCAGACTCCTGCCCTCCTGCTGCCTGCCCAGCCAGCGTGGCCAATGCAACCTGCACAGTGATTGAGAAGCAGAACAGGAATGTGCGCGTAGATGAGCAGTGCCAGATGTACAGACATTAAATTAAATATCTGCTCAGCAACTGCCCCCTCCTCGGGGGAAAAAGAGCGGAGAGAGAGAGGGAGGAAAGAGAGACAGAGAGGGAGAGAGAGAGATAATTTCAAAGAAGAAAATGCTGCAGATAAACCCCCAAGTAACGAATTAGTCGTTACCTTGTGCTCTCTGGGGCCCGGGCCTTGCCCATGACCCAAACCAGATGGCAAACACGAACATTTTTAGAAGTTAATTTAAAACCAATTTGATCCCCAAATTCATTGCCTGGATGTAGAATCCTAATCAATCAGCCAACACTCGACCGAAATCATCTAAGCCTGGTGTCACCTCTGGGGGTTAATTAGAAACTGTTATGTGCTGTTTGAGAAATAACTTTATGTAACAGGTTTGAACCAGTGAGAGTTTGGCTTCCGCACAAGTGTGAATTCTGCTGGCTGGGGCCTTGTTAACACGTGCAACCCCGAAACCTCTGCAGGATGACGCCAGGAAGGGTTTTCATCTTTCATCCCCTCCGAATGCATCAGGAAAGAAGATGCCTGGTCTCTCTCATCTCTCACCTGAGAGGCTCACTAGCTCTCAATTTGTTTCTGTTATGCAGAAAACCACTTGCCCCGAATTACCAGCCGGTATCCCAAGTGTCCTGCCTGCAGAAGATCTCTCGTTTGCAGGGGGAATCGGGGAGGACAGGCCTGGTGTTATTTTGATGTAATGCATTACGCCCTGTCAGTACACATCAGTGCGACAACAGTGGGAATGTGGGTTAAAATGCCTAAATTAGACTCTTATCAGCCAGCGTTCCAATTACCGCCACTCCAGCTAACTACCCAGCCGGCTCATTTCTTCCCATTACGCTTTTGCAGCCATTTACCAGCATTTCAAAGTGCCTTCGAGTCTGTCCTCGAGTCAAAATCTCCCAAACCAAAAATAATATAGTCTTCTGTACTATGGAAATCGAGTCAAGTTTAGGTTCATCATAGAGTACAAATAATAAGCCGAAAATGCGGCAATCTGAAAAAGAAAAAGGCAAACTGTTTCTTAATCGTCCTAGAGTTTCTTTCTAAAGGAGGACTCCCGAATGCCACTTGTTTGGCATGAAACTCACTCGGCAGCCATCTGTGGAAATCTTTTGTTTTTTTGGGAGAAAAAAAAAGCTGATTTCCCAGCCAGGCCCTCCCAAATGCCCCTCTTTCCCCCTTGCCCGTCCAGCCCGCACCCCTGGCCTGAGATGGCAAGAGCAGGGGATGTCTGCTAAGTTCCCACGTCAACCTTGCTTTGACAAGTGGTTGTTTCCAGGACATTCACCTTTCAGAACGATGCTCTGGACTAAATTCTGGCCAACAGCTCTCTTTCAAAACACAAAAGAAAAAACAAATACAGAAACAAAAAATCAAAAAACCCCAACAACCAAAAAACAAAAAACAAAAAACAAAAAAATCGCACCAGGATGTGTCTCTCTGGTTCCTGTTTGGCCTCTGATGAGCCTTTTCCCTCCAAAATGCAGACTGACTACTCCCACACACTTTGGCTTGGCATCTGTTCCCTGTTGACGTGTTTTACTGTAAGCCCAGCTCTGCGCCTCTGTGAAGCAGGGACAACTGTAAATGAGGTCAAAGAGAGAGCAAAGCAAATGCACGGCCTGGGACAACTGAGGGCCGTGGCTGTGGCTGCCACTCGAGAGGGTGGCTGGTTTCCTCTATGATAAATAACACTAGAATGAACATCTCTGGGCTACATCTCTCCTCCACTATCCACTAGTGCAGACGCTCCACAATGGGGCGCCAGGGGCACGATTATATTAACGGGCCTCATCCCCGTCGGCACACGCACTCTCCAAGGCAGTGAAGAAAAGATGCTCCCTTACCCAGGGGAGGTTCTTGAAGCTACAAGAGCCTCTCTTGTCCACCCCAAGGTGGAGACGGCACTGCTGTGAGGACAGTGAAGTTTCCAGTATGGAAGGGATGGGGAAGAGGCGCCAGAGGTTCCAGCCCGTCTCCTCCACTTCCAGGCTGGAGACCATGGCAGGCCGCCCGGCCCACCGTGTTCCAGCGTCTTCGGCCAGAACATAGGACAGTTGCCCGAGCAGGGCTGAGCATGATGCCTGGCACTTAGAAGGCTCCTAAAAGTGAGGGGTACGGGGCACGGGGAGTAACAGTGGGTCAGGAGAAAGGTGACGAATTGGAAAGGTTGCATCTCAGGACCAAGCAGGATGCGTGTGGAAAGGCCACCTGCAAGGCCCAGGGCATAAGTCGCCTCCATCTCTCCCTCATCCATCCGTCCCTGTTCAGCCAGTCAGTGTGGGGCCGCTGTGAGCCAGGCACCGCACCAGGCCCCGGGGCTGGAGTAGCCACAGGGGCCTACCGTCCAGCATAGGGGGAGGGTGGAGGGAAGAGGACATAGGAAGTGGCAGGTCTATGATCTGGAAAGTTCTCACTAAGGCCTCGCTGAGCTGAGATCAGAAGCAGCCTGCCAGGAGACATCTGGGGTGAGTTCCAGGTAGAGGGACGGCAGGTGCGGAGGCCCGGAAGGAGGAGCTTAGTGAGATCCGAAGAAAGCAAAGTGGCCGTGGGGGCGGGAGGCAGGGAGTGACCCGCGGCGGGACCCCACGACACCCCCCCCCCCGGGCTGCACCCTGACGCCTCCTCCACGGCGGGCACTGACTGTTCTGTTTGTCTTGTGCCAGCACCACGCCCGGCCCTGCCCAGTGTGCAGCCTCATCGCGCGCTCGGACGAGCACCACCCGCCCGTGCTGCCCCCCCAGGCGGCCCTGCCCCTGCGCCTGGGCGGCCGGTGGGTCAGCCCCGGGTGCGAGGTGCGCCCCGCTGTGCTGTTCCTCACCAGGCTCTTCACCTTCCACGGGCACAACCGCTCCTGGGAGGGATATTACCGCCACTTCTCAGACCCGGCCTGCCACCAGCCCACCTTCACGGTCTACGCCGCGGGCCACTACACCAGGGGCACGCCGTCCCGCAAGGTCCTCGGTGGCACCGAACTCGTGTTTCAGGTCACGCGGGCCCGAGTGACTCCCATGGACCAGGTCACCACGGCCATGCTCAACTTCTCCGAACCGAGCAGCTGCGGGGGCCCGGGGGCCTGGTCCCTGGGAACCGAGCGGGACGTCACAGCCACCAATGGGTGCCTGCCGCTGGGCATCAGGCTCCCCCATGTGGAATACGAGCTCTTCAGGATGGAGCTGGACCCCCTCGGGCAAAGCCTGCTCTTCATCGGACAGAGGCCCACGGACGGGTCAAGTCCCGACACCCCGGAGAGGCGTCCCACGTCCTACCAGGCGCCCCTGGTGCTCTGCGACAGAGTGGCCCAGGGGGTACCCGGGGCCCCGCGGCACGGGCCTCTGCAGAAGCCCCTCCGTGGTGGGGGGCCCTGGCCTCTCCCCGTCCTGCCCCTCGCGCTGGGGCTGGCCTTCCTCACGTGCCTATGAAATTGGCCTCTGACCTCTAGGCCGCCCCCGGACCCTGGTGGACTCCCCCCGGCCACAGACTCCTCCACGTGTCCGCCAGAAGGGCCTGTCTTCCCGCTGCTCTGCCGACAGTCATGCGGCCCTGCCGTTGCCCGCCGGGGCTCCCGGGGGTCTCAGCCCCTGAGCCCGTGGCACCTGCGAAGCCCGAGGCACCTGCGAAGCCCACAGCACCTGAGCCTGCGGCACCTGCAAAGCCTGCGGCACCTGGGAAGCCCGCAGCCCCTGAGCCCGCGGCACCTGCGGAGCCCGCGGCACGGCCCCCTAATTCAACTCGAGAGTTGAGCACGAACCGGGGCGCGGCAGCGTCAGGTGCTTGGCGAGGTCCCCGGGGCTGGAGGGCAGCAGCCCCTCTCCGGCCCGACCTTGGCGTTCGGGGCCGCGGGAGCGAGGCTCTCTGCGCGGGTGCTGCCGCCGCTCTGCCGAGCCTGTGGATCGTTGTTTAAAGATTATTAATTCGAATTTAGCAACACAAACTCGAACCAGAGCCATGAATTAAAGATGCTGCTCCGGGCTTTCGGTACTTGGCGGCTTTCTGGGAGAGGGCTGGTCTCTTCAGGGGCAACTCAGCTTTCTTGAGTTTTGGCTGCGGGCGTTTGTCTGCACTTGCCTCCGCGTCGGGAGTCGGGCCTCAAGCCGTCTACGCGGCGCGGCTGGAGCAGCCCTCCCGGCCCGACGAAGGAGGCCGCGCTGGGCCCAGGAGAGCGCTGCGCGGCGCCGGCTGCTGCGGGCAGGTCTTTGGAGGAGCGCGGCGTTTCCAGCCTTTGGAAAGTAATTAATACTAATGACAGCGGCGACACTAAGGTGCTCTGTAATTAGCCCCGTACAGGCATCCTCTGTTTTCAAGATTCCCTGCGCTTAACTGACAAGGAGGGAGAGAGACCTCCGAATGGGTCTTTGGGACCATCCTAGGGAGACGTCAGGGTCGCCGGGCCCCGGGCAACGTTGGCTCGCCCCGATGCTCACATGCCGGTGTCCCCTCCGCTCAGAGGGGGCTGCCATCAAGGTGGGGACAGGCTGCTCCTCTGCAGGGCCCCCGCCTGCGTTCCCGGGGCCTCGCCCGTAACACTGCGAAGTTTACTGGCATCCGGGGACTCTGGGGCTGGGATCCACCCCCCTCACCACCTCTGTCCTCCTATCTCGGGCTCTTATCACAGATCTCGAACAACAATACAACAATCGAGGCTAATAATGCTTTCAGAGGGGAGCCCTGTGTCCCCTGTTAGATTGTGTGGGGTTCCATCAGCCCGCTGAAATTGCTCTCACTTAAAAAAAAAAAAAAAAAAAACCAACCACCAAGTTAATATTCTCGGTAGGTCTCAGAGAGCAATGAGTGTTCCTGGCATATTTACCAAAGTACAAAAAATAATTAGATTATTTACGGTCTCAGGCTGCACCAGGGTGGGGGGTACAGTTGCTGGTGGGGATGAGGGTGGGTGGCGATAATGTGTCCATGGCTGAGCAAGTCTTGTATCCGAGGCTCGAGGCAACCATGACACCATTTGTCATCAAATTTGAATCTTTTAATAAAATTAAACAGCCTGAAAAATGTTCTCGCCGGTTATTAAAGTCAACCAAGGGGATTATGGTTCTAAAGAAAGGAAGTGAAGTGTCTTCCAGGGAATGTGTGAAAGAGAATAAAACCAGTGGAGGTAAACCCCGGCTGTCTGTTATGCCCCTTCGGTTCAGGCGACTGCCCTGCCCTGTTACAAACTCTCCCAGAGCTTCCAGTACACTCGGAATAAAATGCCCACTCCTCGGTCACTGATGTCTGCAAGGGCCAGCTGCACCTCCCACACCCTCGCTGCATCAGCCTTCCTTCTGTTTCTTGACCATAACAACCTGTTTCCTACCTCAGGGCCTTTGCACGTGTCACTGCTGCTACTCTTCCCCTGGATCCTCAGGAGCTTGGCCTTTTCAAGTCTCAGACCAGATGTCACCCACCTGGGGAGGCCAACTACCCGCAAACCCAAACAGCAGCCCCCCCTTCCCCTTCTGTCCTTCTATCCATCCATCCCTTCCATCCTGCTGTCTCTTCTTTATAATGCTCACTGATCACACTGTCGGAAACGACCATCCATTCACGCGTATGCTCTGCCTCTTGCACCACAACTATAAGCTCCACGGAACAAGGAAGGCCCGAGCTGGCCTCGACAGTCCCTTCCAGCAGTGCACGCGCACACTAGCACCTCAGTAAGTAGAGGTGAGTAACGCGTGTTTACGATGCCAGTCTGTCCTCAGACCGAGACCTGTGACGGGGCTGCTGGCTCATGCCAGGCACAGCATCTCTCACTGGGGGGCAGGGGACACGGGAGGTGAGAGCTGTGACTCTGCATCTTGCTCCTGAGGATGCTAAAGACTCAGAGAGGACAAAGGGCATTGCCCAAGATCACCAGCACCTGGGCCCCAGAACCCGAGGCCTGAGCATCTGTCTTGGGGTGTTTCTGGGGTCCCAGACCCCTCATAGGTAACAGTGGAATTCCTTGACTGTATTTGGGGAAAGTGACACAGAGCTGCCTTGTGGGCACAGCATGAGCCACTGCTATTTAGAGTCCCCTGGGCTGGACCCAGGTGCCCTCCTCCCAGGAGCAGTGGATGCTGACAAAGGGCCATGGCTGGAGAAAGGACCACAAGCCCTTTGCTCCTGGACTGAAAGAAGAAGGGGTCGTCCGGGGGACTGGGGGTGCCGAGGGGCTGCGTGGGAAGCCACGACACGTCTTCTGGCCCCTGACTGCCCCTTGCACCACCCTCCACGTAAAACCCAAGGTAGCTTTAATCAACAGAGGGGAAAGTAAAACCTATAGTTCTAGTTCAAAACAAAACAAAACAAAATTAATGTTCTCCATTCTATGTTCAGTCACGTTTAAAAGGGGGAAAAAAAAAAACCCCGTGCAGTTTATAATTTCATAGCGCAGGCTCCCAGGAGAGTAAATGAGGCTTTTTTTTTTTTAATAAAAAGTTTAAATTGTATACAGCTCTCAGAGGCCCATTAACTAACAGATGCTGGTTATCAAAAGAAGCTATTTCTTTGCTTTTTCTAAGCGAATGTGTTTAATCTCCCAGCGGAGCTACGGGCCTGAGAAAGAGCAGCTCCCAGTGACGCGGGCTCTGCTGCACTCAGGCCGCTCTCTGGGGACCGCGGTGACTCAGGCGTGAGCTGGGCGGGAGGGGACAGGCTGGGAGCCGCGGCCTCTGACGCAGAGGAGGGAGGGAGGCGCAGCAGGGCTGTGGGGGGGTGGGGGGCTGCTTCTTCTCCCTGGGGAGCTGGGGCTGGGCTCGGGCAAGCCCCCTCCAACCTGCTCCAACCTGCTCTTGATGGCCCTGGGAGGCTGGATGCCGGTCCTCTTCACGCGCACCCCACTACGTGGGTGCTCACCTGGGCCCCACCTGTCAGGGTCTTGTCTTTGTCCCTCCTTCTGCTTGGAATGTTCCAGCACCTGAGCCTGCACCAGTCACCATAAGGACCCTTGGCCTCACCTCCTTATTTCTTTGTCGGCCGCTGGCCTCCATGAGTCCCCTGATGGCAGGCCCTTGTCCGTCTTGTCCTCACCACGCCCGTGTGTGCAGGGCGCCTGGCACACAGTAGGAGCACAGCAAACACCAGCTGAACAAATAAACACTCTGAGTATTCATGCAGGCTTGGAACCCCGGCGGCCAGAGGACAGCCACGTACTCCAAACCTGGCTTGGAATTTTGATGTTGCTTTTTATTATTATTATTTTTTTTAATAAGATGGGCAGAGCAGACCCCAGAACTGTGAGCTTGAAGAACTCCGTTTTCTCCTGCCCAGGCTCTTCCTAGGAAGGGTATTGGGACCAACTGCAGTCCCCGAGCAGGAGGCCACATGGCATGATGTAGGCAGGACCCCCTGGGGGCCCCTTCAGGTCTCATGTGTACAGAGGTCACCGAGACAGGGAAACCCCTTAGCATCATGCAGGCACCTACGACTTCCCATCCTTAGCTGTGGAGCCCCCAGCTTCAGTTTCCTCACCAGGGAAACAGGCTGAACCACCTGGAAAGGCCATGCCTGGTAAGAGACTCAAGAAGAAGCAATGTCGAATTCTAAGGGGAATAGCTTTAAACAAAAATCTCAATGAGGATGGGTCTTCTTCCAGTGAAGTAGTATTTACTTCCTAAGGGTTATTAATTAACAACCTACTACTCTCACTCCTATATTTGGTATTTTTTTTTAACTCCTTGGGAGGAAAATAATTAACAAAAACACCTTACTTTTTGGTCATTACTGCTATTAAAATAAACTGCAGTTTATTTTTTTAAAGATTTTTATATTTTATTTATTCATGAGAGACACACAGAGAGGCAGAGACATAGGCAGAGGGAGAAGCAGGCTCCCTGCAGGGAGCCTGATGCAAGACTCGATCCCAGGACCCCGGGATCACAACCTGAGTCAAAGGCAGATGCTCAACCACTGAGCCACCAGGTGTCCCCAACTGTCAATTTATTAAGAACTACATGTCATGGACTGACTACCCAATATGGGCCAAGTGGAACACACACTTTCACATCTACTTCCTTCTGAAGCCCCCAATAAATCATGGAAAAAGAAAAAACAGGCACAAGGTCACATGGATACACAGAAAAGGAGAAGAGTCAATAAGAGATGGTAGCAAACCTCTGGAGTCTAGGGGGCTGACAGGTGACACACTGACAGCAGGTGACAGTGGAGAGAAAGGTGCTGTAAGGCTGGGTTAGTAGCAGAAGGGTCAGAGGCAAGCCCCCAAAGGCTTAGGAAGTGGTGGTCTAAGGAACCCTGGAGGTGGGAGAGCACGGGGACTGAAAACAGGACTATGTGAAAATCCTCAAAGGAGTTTTACCTCCAGATCCTCTTCCTGACCCTTGCATGAAACCAGATGGGCAATCAGGATATTTGGACTTGGAGACCATCCAGGGCAAGGTGTCATGCTAAAAATCTAGGTAGCAAATAAAACTCTACCCATGAAACAAGTGGGTTACACAGGCTTCTTCTGCTTGAGAGATAGTGGCCAGGCTTCTGCTGCCAGGAAGGAGATGGGAAGATTCCAGAGCAATGAGCCCACATTAAATCAACTACAGATGCTGACACGTGGAATTTCCCTGGGGAGGTATCTGTGAGGTCCCTACCCAGTTAGCTTGCCTGGAAACCCACCATTCAGCAAATCCCACCTACACAGATGCCACTTCCCACCAGCTCTTTAGTGCTTCAGTCATAAATACATTAAAGGACAGTCAAGGATCACCAGCCATTTAAGGAAAGCCTCCAAAACGAAAAGACAAAAAGTGACGAGTAAGAGTCCCATGTTGGGTGTAGAGATTACTTAAAAATAAATCAATACACTTAAAAAAACATTCAAAGTGATTGGTAAGAAGCAGATAATTCCTCCTTATCTGGAGGTAGGATGATAACAAAAAGAACTATATGGCCCTCGAGTGAAAACAATGCTAACCTTTTAAAGACCATCACCATTTTTCAGTTCCTCTTCTGTACAGAACAAGAACAATAAAAGAATTAGAATATCCTCAGGGAAAAGAATATTTACATCAAGCAAGAGCAGGTTGTTATAAACAAACAATAGTAATTAGAAAGAATTATTGAAAATTATGAAAATGATGGCAGACAAATCAAGAGAAAGTTAGAAATTAAAGTTGAAGAATCTCTCCAGAAATGAAATTAAAAAAAGAGGGGATCCCTGGGTGGCTCAGTGGGTTGGTGCCTGTCTTCGGCCCAGGGCGTGGTCCTGGGATCGAGTTCCACGTCGGGCTCCTTGCATGGAGCCTGCTTCTCCTTCTGCCTGTGTCTGCCTTTGTGTGTCTCTCATGAACAAACAAATAAAATCTTAACAAAAAAAAAAGAAAGGATCACCAGTTAATGGCAGCAGACTTCTTATTGGCCTTAGGAAACTGGCAATCAGTAAACAGTGTTCCCCCAAATCCTCAGCGTGATTTCCAACCTTGATTTTTATACCTAGTACAACTATCAATTGACTGGGAGGGGAGAATGGAACGTGTTCAGATACATGAAGTTCTCAGAAAAGCTACCTCCCACATACTCCTTTCTCAGAAACTGGCTTAAGGATATACTCCACCACAGTGAGGAGATAAAAACAAGAAAGAGGAAGCCAGAGATCCAGAAAACAGGAGATCAACCTAGAAGAGAAGAAAGGGATTTTCCCCCAGATGATGGCAAAGGAAGGGCTTTCCTGGGATGAGAGTCGTGCAGCAGGTCTGGAGACCAATCAATCCAGAGAGGAGCAAGAGAACGGAGAGCTCCAGGAGGGACTCCTCCCGAGAAAATACCTAAGAATCAGAGAGTTACAGAATGGGTGAATGCTTTTGTGCTTCTGTCAGAGTCCGGGGCTGAGTTAATTGGAGATATATAAGAAACTAAGCAGGGGAGAGGGGAAGGGTGATGTATA